AAAGAGAAATCATCTTAAATCAAGAGACATTTGGTCAACAAAAATGAAAGAGAATAGGTGAGAATGTTGGAAGGAGTGACACTGATCAAGATGCACTGTGTTCATTAAAAAAAAAAAATGTTAATTCAAAAGATCAAAAAAAAAAAGATTTCCACCAAAAAAGGAATGAAAATAATGGAGGGCTGGGAACATGGCTCAAGTAGAATACATACTTAGTAAGCACAGAGTTTATACTTCTGTACCACCCAAAAATGAAGATACAATTCCATCTTTTCCCACCAAAATATGTAACAAGATTATCAAAGAGCAAAAATATTGGAATGTCATTATGAAAATAAAATAATACAAAAAACATCATCAAAGGCAGAGTAAAATAGCTGCCAGAGAAAAATGTTTTCATTGGAAAAAGAGCAGCTATTTTATTCCCATTAAGAAATAACATTTTGCCGGGCGCCAATGGCTCACACTTGTAATCCTAGCTACTCAGGAAACAGATCTGAGAATCACAGTTCAAAGCCAGCCCAGGCAGTGAAGCCTGTGAAACTCTTATCTCCAATAAACCACCAGAAAACCGGAAGTGGCGCTGTAGCTCAAATGGTAGAGCACTAGCCTTGAGCTGAGCTGAGGGACAGCGCTGTAGCTCAAGTGGTAGAGAGCTAGCCTTAAGCTGAAGAGCTGAGGGACAGCGCCCAGGCCCAGAGTTCAAGTGGAGGGAGGGAGGGAGGGAGGGAGGGAGGAAGAAAGGAAGGAAGGAACATTTCAAGCCAGGCGCCGGTGGCTCACGCTTGTAATCCTACTCAGGAGGATGAGATCTGAGGATCACGGTTCAAAGCCAGCCCAGGCAGAAAAGTCCATGAGACCATTTATCTCCAATAAACCAATAGAAAACCAGAAGTAGTGCTGTGGCTCAAGCAGTAGAAGCTCGCCTTGAGCTGAAGAGTGCAGGGACAGCACCCAAGCCGAGTTCAAGCCCCATGACCAACAAAAAAAAGAAAAAAGAAATAACATTCATACCACTATAATTTTAAGAAATACTAATTCTACCTATATTATTTTATACATAACTTCATAATCCTAATTAGCAATTTAGTATTCCTGATATTTAGAATATTATTTGGACTTCTTATGTTTTTGTATTTTGTTTTGTTTTTTTTTTTACCCTAACCCTAACCCTAACCCTAACCCTATCCCTAACCCTAACCCTATGGACTTCTTATGTTTTTGATGAATGATTCTATTCTACCAATTTCTTTCTCTAAGATGTGATTCTGAATCACCTTGAGAATACACATCCCAACTACCATCACTCAGAGATCGACTCAGCAAGTCCAGAGAAAAGCATTTTGCAAACATTCTCCCAATGATTGTGACTGCTAGTTAAGAACTACCACTATAAAAGATGAATTACATATTCAGTCTCCTAAGTTGAAGGGTTCTCTTGGGGAGGCATCTTTGTAGGGCATATGACTGCCTGGAGCAAAAGAACTCCACATTTCACTAAAGAAAATGTTAAAGATATCTAGAAAATTGTCTATTCAAATAACATGCAACCATACTTCAAAACACTTTCCGTATATTTATTTTAAAGTGTACATTTAGGACAAACAGTTGAGAAAATATATAAAAATAATTTATGTTAATACAACCCCAGTATTTACATGGTCCCTTAAAAGATCTCATTTTATTGCCATCAAAATGTATTTCAACCACATCCATAACTGCTCTCAAAAGTCAAGAATTTCAATATTTTCTAAGAGAAAAGTTTAGTATTCATGTACAGTAAAATAATAAAACTAGGAATGATACAAATAATATTTTAAAATGTAATCATGTCCCAACTATGCTATGCCATATGTCCTAAAAATAATCTTCACCTTATAATAATCCCAAGCAGTTGTTCTGTTTAAGAAAAAGCACAAAATCTTTTATAGAAAAAATATATCACAAAAACTTATAAAGCTGAATTGCCAAAAAAGGAATCTGAGGTTCAATTTCACAATATCAAATTTTCATATGCACTATGTAAACATATTTTCACTATGGGCTATCAAATCAAAGCCAGTTATTACTGTAAGAAGATATAGTATAAAATATTTCTTCAGTGCAAAAATCCATATCAACTTATGTTATCAACTGACTTAAGACAATTTTAATAAAAATCGTAACTTGAATCCCATAATATGAAGTAATTCTAACAAAGACTTTACATTAATTTAAAATAAAAAGCTCTACAACAGTAACCAAGTTTTCCTTTAGTTACTATTCTCTAGAAAATGCTTTCTTTTGATTAGCTTTTACAATGTCATCAGGTGATGCTGATTTGAAGTCAAATGGTGTTATTGCTACAAGAGGACTTATTTCTTTGTCCTTTCCATCTTCAACTTGTCTATTATAACGAAAAGTCTTATACAGGTCAAGGGCATGCCGCTTGCCGCTTTTCAGTGGGTAACGAAGACACAATGTTGAAGCAAAAGCTGAAGGTCTAGCAGCAAGGGCCTTGGTCCAAGACAAAGAAAAAGGTGATTTCCTAGTCACACAGCCTTTATTGGTTTTCTTATCCTTAGCTGAATTGACATTTTTTCCTAACTTTGAACCTAGAACTTTAGTTCCTGGTGTTGGAGTAACAGATTGGTCAACTGTAGACTTTGGAACAAAATCTGAAGATTTTATCAGAACACTAAGGTCAATATTTGAATCAATTCCAGCAGGCCTTATTTCAGATAAATTGAGATCAAAAGAATCTTTCTTAATCTGAGAGTTATCTACATCAATTGTTTCTGCAATCAAATCAGAAAGTGACAAATTCTCAAGGTCTCTTGAGGGAGAAGCTTTACAAAATGCCAGTGATGACAGGGATCCTGTTAAGTCTGATATTCCAGTAGAAGACTGAGTACGATTTGCTAGTTGTGATAGGGGAAAGGATCCCAAACTTAGATCTGGGAAACTGGCAGACTGGTTGCAAAAATCAGATAAAGTATAGCACTGATTTGGGTTGTTTTCTTCATGTTTCTCAACCAGTTCAGTTAGGGATGGACTTCCATGCTGGGCAAAGTGTAAACTGTCATTTTTTAAACTGGAATTCTTGGCACTTGGTTCAACTAAAGAAACATTTCCAACCTCAGTCTTTTCAACGAGATTTAAATTGCCAAGTGTCATATTTTCCAATGAGCTAGTTAAGTGCAAAGGATTATTTAAAGTTCCCAAGCTGTTTTCTACTACGTTGCTTTGGAAATCAAGTACTGAACTGTTTTGAAAAGACAAATTGTTAGCTGTTCTATTCTCTCTCATTAAGGACTTTAAATCTGGTATCCCTTTAAAAACAAGATCATCTTTGGGAACACATTTGGATACATACGGTCTTAACAAATCAGTATCTACATTCTTCGAAAGGGGACTTTCCAGACTATCTGTGGATGATAATCCAACTGATGGCTGACTTTTACAAGAATCTCTTGGCATATCATGAATTAGGTCAGCTAGTGAAAGCTCTTTTGGTAACTTACATGATTCTAGTTTCTTTTCAATTTTAGGTCTGTCAAGTTTTTTTTTCCTATGAAGTGAATAGTTACTGGGAACAACTGAAGCATGATATGATCCATTCTTTGCTCCTAAGCTAGAAAAATCACATTTGCTATTCCAATCCAAATGATTCTCTGGTTGATGATAAGAACTTTGAACATTATCAGCTGAAACTTCAAAGGAAGGAAATAAGACTCCTTACCTTACAAAAGCCATTAATTTTCAGATGAATATGTTGACATTTGCAGAAGACAGTCACAGCAACCAAAAGAAAACATGAAATGAGGCATTTAATTACTAAATGCTTCTTTTGATTGGTATATGAATAAAGCAGTACTATTGTCTAACATTAAGTAAACATGGTAGAAATAATTAAGAATTACTTTTGTAAGGTATAATACAATATGGTACAGAATTACTTTGTTCACTAGCATATATTCATGTAAGTACCAACTCAATGTGTTAATTCTTACCAATTTCACAATGTGATGTCTTAACTAATTATTTGATTACCTGAAATTCAAAACATGAAAAAGCCAGCTTCTTTTTTCCTCTCTTTTTTTAATAACTTAAAAACAAACTAGGAAGTTGAAGTTGTACGTAGCTCAGTGGTAATGCATGTACTTAATATGCACAAGGCTCTAGGTTAAATCTACAGCCCCTGGTAGGGGGGTAGGGGACACTCTGTAATAGTTCCTGCTATGATCTGAGTTATATTATTAACACGAAGAACTTACATACTCATTCCCATATTGCTCAAGTAAAAAATGCACATCTGCTCACTCCTCAAGAAACTCTTATTGTATGGTAAATGATTAGACAAATTTTTGCTGTAATAAATGGCTAGCCTAGACATTACAAGGTATATATGCTGAGTTAACAAATTACTATGCTCTTACTAACAGAAACCATATCAATATAACTATGCCTCAGTTCCTTTATGTCTACTAAATTACAAATTTAAATCCTACAAATTTAAAAATGAAAGATTATTGCTTTTCTTAAGCATTAGTCAAGAAATGAAATTTAGGATGATATAGTATACTTATAGATTAATTATAATACATTATTTAACTATAGTATATCTAAAATGAAATTATATTTATACACGACAGGGAATTTTAAACATTAAGTATTTTAATTTCTCTTACTTCATTAGAGTTAAAAAAGCAACAATTAAATTCTCTAAGACACTAACAAGAAAGGAAAAAATGCATTCTTTTATTTGACTTTATTTCAATATGTTCTGTTAGTTATGCAAACAAGTAGTGAAATAATTGCATATGCACTAAGGCTATAACAAAGGAAATAGAGCATTCAGCTTAAAATTTTCATCATCTAGAAAATCACTTATAATATTCAAGGTGAACTACAAAATAAGATTTTTAACAGCCTAAGCAAATGAATTTTTTCTTAATAGCTTAAGCAAACAAGATTTCCAGCTATGTAAAACAACTGAAAAAGAATAAATAAAGGCATACCTTTTGCTATCTTCCCTGTGGCTACTGCTTTTTCACTCTTGTCCTTCAACTTCTGTACATTATCTTGTTCCAGAACCATGGACAAGGCCTTCTGCACATCAAACTTGTTCTTCAAAATTGCTTCAATCAGTATTTCATCTGACACAGCATCTCCCAGTACCTCTCTCATGTGATCAAGGCATGAATAAAGACGAGCTAGAACATACAATGATTAAAAGCTGTACTACAAAGTGCCATGAAAGAACCCTTAATCTTCAAAATTGTAAAAGGATTTAAAACTCTACATGTCTATTGAACTCTTCTTTGGCAAAAACTATTTGATGATCATCTTCTACCTATAATATATTTATCTTCTCTTACCAAAAGAGTAAGTACCTACATAAAATGTTCTTGAATAATACATTCAAAACATTGTAAATTGTGTATACTAATATGTATTTTCAGTCCAACATGACAATAAATGCCTCCAGAATAACACTGATGAATGCTTAAAAAATGTAAAGTGTTGGGAAGGAAAAGAAAGGAGGAGGCTACAATGCTTGATAAGAAATGTACTCATTATCTTGCCCATGTAATTGTAACCTCTCTGTACGGTATTTTCACAATTTAAAAAGAAAATCGCAAAATAAAAAAATGTAAAGCGTCACCAGAACCTGTGGCTCATGCCTATAATCCTAGCTACTCAGAAGGTGAGATCTTGAGAATCTCAGTTAAGAGCCAGCTCTGGGACAAATCCCAAGACTTTTATCTCCAAATAGTGAGCAATGAACAAGAAATACAGGCATGGTTCAAGCAGTAGAGTGCCAGCTATGAGTAAAAAAGCCAAGTGAGAGCAAGAAGCCCTGAATTCAAGTCCTAGTACCAGCCAAAAAAGAACAAAAAAAAAAGGTCAATGGTAATACTAATCTTTTTAATGATAATAGTGAGATCTACACTGATCACCTTTAGTATATGTAGAAAGGCAGGGTAACTATGGGACCATAATTTTGCAAACTCCATTATAATTACTAAGTTTATTCCTTACATTTTATAATTACTACTTCAATTTTTCTTTTAGGCTAACTTGGTTTTTTTGTTTTTGGGTTTTTTTTTGTTTTTTGTCAGTCGTGGGCTTGAACTCTGGGCCTGGGCGCTGTCCCTCAGCTCTTCAGCTCAAGGCAAGCGCTCTATCGCTTGAGCTACAGTGCCACTTCCTAGTGCCACTTTCTAGTGGTTTATTCGATAAGAGTCTCAAGACTTTCCTGCCGGGCTGGCTTTGAACCATGATCCTCAGATCTCAGCCTCCTGAGTAGATAGGATTACAGGTGTGAGCCACTGGCACCCGGATAGGCTAACTTATTTTTGCCAGCCAACTAAAATCACCCTTAGTAACTTAAAAAAATGAAAACACCTAGCATAAAAATTAGGAACTCCAGGAAATTGAAAAGGAAATGAACATTCATTTTAAAAACAAAAATCTTAAACCTGGAATTACCTTTTAAAGAGTTTAGTTTTCTTGTGACTATATTATAAAGTCACTATTTTAAAAATTCATTAATGCAAAAGTCTATGAGAAGCTGGGTGCTTGTGGCTCACGTCTACTGAGATGAGCCTGGGCAGGAAAGCTGTGACTTTTCTCTCCAGTGAATCACCAAAAAGCTGAAAGTGGAGCTGTGGTTCAAGTGGTAGAGTGCTAGCCTAGAGCTTAAAAAAACTCAGTGCCCAGGCGTTGAGTTCAAACCCCAAGACCAGCATTAAAAAAAAAAAAAAATTTCAACAAACTCTAATTTGTGCTTCATTATAAACGTTTCCATGTTGAACAAAAGATCTACTGGCATTTCCTAGACAAGCACTTTACCACTTGTGCAACAACCTCAAATGCTGCAATTAAGGCTGAATACAGTGGTTCACACTGTTGTCCCACTTACTGGGTAGGCAGAGATAGGAAGCATTAAGGTTCATGGGCAGCAGGGCATAAAGATTCCATCTCTATAAATAGGTGAAATGATAGTACACATCTATAACCTCAGCTGCGTCAGAAGCATAGGTGAGAGGATCAAAGACTAAGGCTGACCCCAGGCAAACAAAATAACTAAAACAAAAATCAAACAGAGCTGAACTTAAAAGCTCATACCCATGACTCAGAAAACACCTGAGTTCAAATACTGATACCAACAAAAGAAAAATAGTAATTTAAAAAACTAGCATATCTCCAGTTTTTAACTGGAGATTATGAATAACTTTCTTTGAGTTGGGCAATTCTACTTTGCTTCACTGGAAGATTTATCTTAAAAGGCTGAAAGGCAATACTAAGACCTATTTGGTAAATGAGTGAATTACTGAATGTAAGAACAGAGTATTTAGCATAACTGGCTAGTTTCAGAACCTCTTCTAATTATTATAGGAACTACTTTCTATAACAACAGAGACACTGTATTGGGAAGTTAAAAGTACAGGTTACAGAGGCAGGCTGGCTTAGATCATATCAAAATGCCACTTCCTTAGCTGTTACAACACCAGGTAATAATAATTCATTATTATTTTGGTCCTCATTTCCCCTCTCCCTATAAAATGAAGACAATAAACCATCCTAGCTGGTAAGGTTCTTGTGAGGATTAACTATGTTAATATCTGGTTAGCCCTTAAATGAGTACCATTTGGTAAAAGTGGTTGCAATTACTATACTATTGCAATTATACTTACATATGTGAGCTTGCTATTTTTTGTTGGTGGTGGTCATGGGGCTTGAACTCAGGACCTGGGATTGTCCCTGAGCTCTTTTGCTCAAGGCTAGTACTCTACCACTTGGAGCCACAGCACTTTGTCTGGTTTTCTCGTGGTTAATTAGAGATCAGTCTCATGGATTTTCTGACCCAGGCTGGCTTTAAACTTCAATCCTCAGATCTCAGCCAACTGAGTTAGCTAGGATTTCAGGCGTGAGCCACTAGTGCCCAGCATATATGTGAGCTTGAATGGTTAACTTTGCTTCTCAACCATGCATTGAATTCCTAACTCCTAACTATTGTGTCCTCTGAGGTACACAAATAAGAAAAGGATAAATCCCACAAGTTACCATAATACTCTAAGAACACAATTAATACAACTGATTAGTTCATAAAATATCACCTCTCCAAACTTTTATCCAGATTTTCAAGCAAGATTCCTAATTTTTTATTTTTTTTTCTGTTCTGTTCTTTCTGCAGCATAATATTTTTAGATTTAGGCCTTTTTTTTAAATCATCTATCTATTTGGTTGGCAGCTGGTATACTGACTTAGCTCAGATTCCTACATTTCTTTTTACTGTTTTCAACTTACAAATTACAAATTAATTACAGTATCTATAGAAAGAAATCACACTGCAGAGAAAAAAACAAATCAGTCCACTATCAAATCCTGCTCACTATCAAAACCTGCTCACTATCACCAGATGTATTACTGTCCTATATGTCATGTCAGGCCAATATCAACCTAAGACTTGAGTGATGCTTGAGGCAACCTGATATTTAAATATTATTCATAAATGTTTCTAATTAAAAAAACTTCTAGTTTAAAACAATGTACACAAATGTGACTAGTAGGACACTTGTACAATATTACACTGGTCTTCAATCTTTCATTCTAGCTTCTCCAGACTTAGCATCTTTGTAAATAAAGGAGTTCCTGAAAGCTAACCATAAGATCCATAGAGAACTCATGAAATAAATAATTTTTTAATTTCTTATAATAAATCACTGGAACTTCCCTCCTATGGAAAAGCCAAATAAATTTTCCCAGTTGAAACCCAACAGCCACACAGCTAACTTTTAAATCATATAATTAAATTTACTCCTTATAAGGAACAAATCTCCAATTTCCTACAAAATACAAAATATGCTAATAATGTTACTATCCATAGTCATTACCATAAACAGTAACAAAAAATCCATCAATTCTGGTGTTTTTAGTGTTTGATCATTTTCAAGTAAGAATCATAGATACAGTTCTTTATTTTACTATACCTTGGTCAATTTCACTTAGCTGGTGGTTCAAATGAGAATTGGGAGAGTCTTTCAGTTCTTCATAATCATAGTCCACAGGTTTGTCACGTCGTGAGTAAATAAACTGAGCCGCTAGAATATAAAATGATTAAGGAACACTATAAAATGCCATCTCATGTTCATTTTTTTTAGCTTTATCGTCAAGGTGATACACAGAGGGTTACAGTTACATACATAAGGTGGTGAGGACATTTCTTGTCTGACTTGTTGCCCCCCCTCATTTTTCTCCCACTTTCCCTCTCCCCTATACCCCACCAAGTGTGCAGTTCATTTCCAACATATTGTCTTGTGAGTACTGTTGTTGTACTGTTTTGCCCTTTGTCCTTTGTCTCACCATTTTGCTGTTCCCTTTCCCTTCCCTATTCAGATAAACGTATATACAATACCCAGGGCACCAAAATCAAATACAGTGACCACAGAGGTATATGCTATTGAAGCAAGCACCATTCAATTTCTCTTACAAAGAAAAATTAAAGGTTCTACTCTATGACTTAAAGCAGTGGATTATGGAGTGAGTAATTTGGTTACCCAATCTGGTTCCTATTTCCTTTCTTAGCCCTCTTTGCGAAACCTGCATGAGTACATGGTCTCCTCATCCTAAGTAGTTTCTTCCACTCAGGATGCCACTCTCCCAATCCCACCTCCTGCCGAAACCTTCCCAAACTCAGGAAGTCAAGATTATTAAAAATACAAGTTGGTTTTGCCATTTCCCCCTAGTACTAGGGATTAAACCAAGGCCTCATGCATGCAAGTTCTCTCCCTCTTGTGCCAAGTCCCCAACCCTTTTGATTTTTGTACTTTTTTTCTGAAATAGGGCCTCACTAACTCTGCCAAGCCTAGAACTCACAATCCTCTGGTAGTCTCTGCCTCCCAAGTAGCATATGTCGCCACGCCCAGCTTAGGTTGACTTTTAAAATGTGTAAAGATCTCAGTAATAAAAATATACAAGTTTGTGGAGGGGAAAGGTGGCCTTTGGTGTTCCAGAATAAAATCCTGTAGTTCATTGCAAAAACAAAAATTATTCTTTTTTTTTTTTTTTGTCAGTCATGGGGCTTGAACTCTGGGCCTAGGTACTGTCCCTGAGCTCTTTAGTTCAAGGCAAGTGCTCTACCAGTTGAACCAGACTGCCACTTCCAGTTTTCTGGTGGTTAACTGGAGATAAGAGTCTCAGGGAATTTCCTGCCCAGACTGGCTTTGAACTATGATCCTCAGATCTCAGCCTCCTGAGATCAGCTAGGATTACAGGTCTGAGCCACCAGCACCCAACCAAAAGCAATTCTTTTAAGAGGTGTAGGAGAACAAACTTCCAGCTCTTCCCATATGATGTCCCCCATGCTTTGGGACTCTTGCTAACAAAAACATCTTCACCAGGTTTTTTTTTTTTTTGTGTGGAGGACCATAATCTAGTGGGCATGTTCAAACAGCTGCTTGTACCTCACTCTGAGTTTCAGAATCCTGAAGAGGGCCCTCTAACAAACTTCAATTGATACTGATGATACAGACACCCTACTTCAAGAACACAATCCCAAATCTCCTGATTGCCTCTAAATTAGTATCATAGTCTCCTAAGTCTACCTAATCCAATAACCTCATTCAGTCCACTATCTGCCATACAGAAGGGGTATTCTTTAAAACGCCATTCTAATACTATACCCTTATAATCATTTTAGATACATAAAAATACCATGCATCTCTACTGCACTGCAAATGTGAGTGGCATGGACAGTAGTACTGTCACCTACTGTGACTAGGCTCTTGCCATATTGCCACAGTCCTGTGCAAGTACACAGAGTGGGACTCCTAGGGGAGAAAAATGTAACCTCTCTTATCACTAACCCCTACATTACCTCAAGTCCCTCAATAGGGAGCTTCAAAGGAATGTCATTATAAAGCTATCTCTCCAGTTACTAACCCACCATTTATTCAGCTCTGTGGTTTATGCCTATGAAACACATGTCTTTTTGTTGTTGTTAGTCATGGGGCTTGAACGCTGGCCTGGGCGCTGTCCCTCAGCTCTTCAGCTCAAGGTAAGCACTCTACCGCTTGAGCCACAGCGCTACTTCGGTTTTCTAGTGGTTTATTGGAGATAAGAGTCTCAAGACTTTCCTGCCCAGGCTGGCTTTGAACTGTGATCCTCAGGATCTCAGCCTCCTGAGTAGGTAGCATTACAGGCGTGAGCCACCAGCGCCCGGCAACACGTGGTCTTTGATAGCTGACTCCCTTTTAGGATGAGCCAATAAGATGCTAAAGGGAAAGTGAAAGGCTGGAGAAGGAAGGTATACACTCTTTTCATTTTTGCTTCTTATTCTAGCCAGCATCATCCAACATTAATCTTTCAGTAAACAATTATGTCAGTTTCTCCATAGTCCCCAGAAAAAGCATCAACATCACCTTCACTCTGCAGATACCAGACCCATCCAGGAGGGTGGAATCCCTTCTTCAAAAGGCTGAACCCCAGCTTCAAAGGGTCCCATTGGAGACACCAGCATCATCAGGGCAGTGCATTTCACCCTAGATGTTTAAATACCACCTATACAGCCCCCCTGTAAAGTTCACACTCAAAACAATAAAGCAAAACCCTCTTCTTGTAGTCTAAGTCTCAGTTTCAGGAAGCCTCCACAAGTTTCTAAAAAGTCAGTTTCAACCCTAGCCAATTAATTATTCCCCTATGAACTTCCTGAAGTTATTACCTTCTTGATATTCTGGTTTTCCTTTGCATGTGTTTTGCTCTGTAAGACTTTAACAGTTTTCTAAGTTAAACTTCCTCAGGTAAGGTGCCTGGTATAATTTTTATCTCCTAACAGAATCCTGACTGGCAACAGTCTGGAAAGGACATGATTAGGTTAAATGAGGAAAGTACATGACCTTAAGCGAAGGCACATAAATAAAGTCCCAGTTGGGTTTCAAAACAAGTAACTAGAAAAGGATAATAGAAGAAATAGTGTTTAAGACTAGTTCTAAAGCACACATACCTTTATAAAGAAAAAGAATTGTGAAAAAGATGTGTTTGGTCTTCAGGGACTAAAGATAGAATTTAAGCGGATACAGATTATAAAACAATAGCCTAACAGACTATGAGACAAGAAAAATATTTTACACTGTTTCAGGCAAGACAGCAAAATACTGTATTAACTCCATACCTTCTGAAACAAGAAAAATTTATTTCTCAGCTCTGGAAGTCTAAGATCAGGGCAAACTCTGGTTCATGGGCAGCGCCTACTTGCTATGTCCTCACAAGGCGGGAGGGCAAAGGAAATTTTTGGGTGGGAAACCTTTTTTCTGCAACGGTCCATTTGGATATGACAACATTATTCGAGGGCCATATAAAATTATCACTAAATGGAGATAAGCCAAAAGAAGTCTACAGGCAAATAATTTCTCAGAACTTTTATGACCAAATGTTCTTCATCCCTTGGCCCATGCCTGAGCATCCCATCCTCATAAGTGAATCTCCTACTAAAGGGCTCACCTCCTAATACCATGACCTTGAGATAGAATTTCAACATATGAATTTGAAGAGAAACAAAATTTGACCATCCCAGAGGACTTTGAAGATAATTTTAATTATACCAAACTTCTAAAATTTTGAAAAGTTTTATGAATTGTATTTTTACCACACCTAACTACTGGTAAGTTGTACACCTTGTACTGCTATAATAAAACTATAGAGGAATTTGTGAGGCATTTCCTGTGTGTGTGTGTGTGTGTGTGAGCGTGCATGCATATACTACATACATGCACCCACATTATACACAATGGTTGATTTTATATATATAGATGGATGGCTAAAATTTGAAGACAAACATACTTTTAGAGAAATACATGAAAGAAAGGTAAAAAAGCTCAGTTTTCCTTCTATGATTGCAGATGATATAGAAGATGCAGTCCTAATATAGACTCATAAAGGAATTTGTACTCTAAATCTCTATAGCTCTATCAGCAGACTGAACTATATATAGTTTATTTACCAAACTATGTAGCAGCAGATAAACTAAAGAACAAAATATCGCACTGCTATCTCATAAGTATGTATAGTATGTGCCAATTTTAAAAAAGTACCCAAAAAGTATGTAAAATTGGAAGTGTTTATTTACCTAAAGCATCATTGCTTCTTAATATTCAAAATATCCTTGGAGATATAAAATTAACTGCTGTCTGCCTCTGGAGATTGTTAATTTCATTACTGATAGAATGCCTATTTTATTATATTAAGATTACATACTTCAAAAGCATAGTCTTCAGCAGGTTGAATCAAAACTTTAAATACTATAATGGACAAACTATACACCTTTAAAAATTTAACATACATATATATATATATATATATACACACACACATATATATGCATGTATATATTATATGTATAATATATATAAACAGGTTTATATTATATATTTTATATATATATTCAAATGTTACAAATTGTGTAGTCTTATGAAATACTTTAGTCCTAGAAAAGCAATAGCCTTTACTTGACATTTTTTTTTTTTTTTTTGGGTCCGGTCGTGGGGCCTGAACTCTGGGCCTGGGAGCTGTCCCTCAGCTCTTCAGCTCAAGGCTAGCACTCTAACACTTGAGCCACAGCACCACTTCCGGCTTTTTTCTTTTTTTGCTTATGTGGTACTGAGGAATCGAACCCAGGGTCTCAGGCATGCAAGGCAAGCACTCTACCACTGAGCCACCTTCCCAGCCCTTTACTTGACATTTTTAAATACTCAAACCAAGACAGTGAAATTCACCTGTTGATGGAGAAATACAATAATCATCCTCTACAGACTGGCCATAGAGATCATCATCTTCAAAATCTGAAACAAAAAAAGAGAGATAAGCTCATTCAGAAGTTCATTTTTGTTGTTTTACTATTAATGAGGAAGTATCTAAATTCTCTTTAAAAAACTGTCAAAATTAAAAATCCTAGAACTACTTTTCCATAAAGTCTATGAATTTCATCCACAAAGTTAGTACTTAATGATATTCTGTATTTATAAAAATGTATATGGTTCTTCTACTTTGAAGCTAGTTGCTTCTATTCAGATTTCCCAAGTTTTCACCACATATGATCAAAACTAATTTCAAAACTAATTATATATAAACTGGGTGCTAGGGGCTCACACCTGTAATCCTAGACATTCAGGAGATGGAAATCTGAAACAGCCCAGGCAGGGAAGTCCATGAGACCCTATTTCCAATTAAAGATCAAAGGCCCAAAGTAGAGCTGTGGCTGAAGTAGTAGACAGACAGCCTTAAGTAAAAAGTTCATGCACCAGTACTGATACAGGGGGGGAAAATCTATAATCCCATATACAATATACTTGAATTGTCCTTCCAAGGCTAAGAAAACCTGAAATAGGATCCATTCCTTTTTGTTGTTGTTGTTGGTGGTGGTGGTGGTGGTGGTGGTGGTGGTGGTGGTGGTCATGGAGCTAGAACTCTAGGGCGGAGCACTGTCCCTGAGCTCTTCAACTCAAGGTGAGCACTCTACCACTGAGCCACTTTTCCAGCACAGATCCATTCCTTTTTAAATGCATTTAAATCTCTATACCAAAGGACTTTCCATAGAACTCACTAGCACAGGGTATACAATCATATCACAAAAAATAGCTCTTCATTCAGAACTACCCTCTACAGGGTAGAGTGTAGCGTCTACACTGTTTGTCCTTCTGTCCTTTTGTGTTCACTTCATTGAAGCTAAGAGACCTGTGCCCCTCACAATGGAATCAACCTTTGCCCAGATTTTCCTAAGGTTGTTTCTTCCTGGTGAGGCTCCAGCTTAAATATCACTTCTTTGCAGAACATCCTCTGCTCACTCTAAGTAAGGCAGCAAACCTCCCTGGCCACCTTCCCTTCTGGCACTTCCCTCCACTTTAATGATTTTCAAATCACTATACCTGTTATAAAGGGTTTCTATGGCAAAACATGGCGTAGAGAAGGGCATATATGACACACAATTAGTATTACTTTAAGTTAATGGATCAAACTATTTAATACTAAAAAGCCATTAGGAACAAACATTATTTATCTAAATACATTCACTAATACAGCAAATACTAACATTTTCAGGGACTACTAAGGAGACAACTAGTGGTACAAAAGTGATCACATTCCAAGCTCCTCACTTTAAAATTCTGACAGAGAATTCAGACAAGAAAGGACAATCACAAAACCAAACAACAAGTGTCAACCTGAGAAACACAGAGCAATTTGGGAACATCAAGATGAATTAAACTAGAACCAGGAATGGAGAGGCTATGGAAAGATGAGCAGGAATATAACATCCAAACCAATTCCCAAAGATATATGTGAGGTTGGCAAAATCATACAGCAGGGTCATCATACTCAAAGGCTAAAACCAAATGTTGTGGCAAAGAAAAATTACAAGTGCTAAAATTTGATAAAAGGTATAAATTTATTAGATCACAATTCCAAATTAATAATTCCAAACAATAAATTAATTGGCAAATAACTGACAAATAACTCTATCTATAGTTTGATAATTAAAACAAGACTTTTTAAAACAAGGTCACCTTGTCAATATTGAAATTGACCCTAAACTGCTACAATATAAAAAGATTATTTCTTGTGATCTAGATAAAGTGGATTGTTTCTTCAACAAAATTTTTGAAGTATTTACTACATTTATGTATTATGCCAGCTACTGTAAAATTAAACTAGGACTTTTAAAACTAAGTAGCTGAGACAGTCACATTAAGTACTACCCAAATTACAGAGAAAAACAGTGTAAGTTAAATAGAGGCACCAAAAAAACATACGGTTTTAGACCACGAGACATTCAGGTTAGATGCATTTTTGCGATTTTTAAATCATGATTCTGAGAGTCCAAAGGAAAGCTTCACTGGGAATAAGAGTAAAGTGCATACTGAAGATGAGTACACTTTCATCAGCAGGTAAAGGGGTTGAGACTCCTAGGCTACAAAACCAGTTTGGTTATGATGTCACCAACTGTTCCAAAGAGACCTGACAACCTGACCTCAGGTGGCCTTGAGATCAGCACTATGTGAGATTAAGCAGTTCTTCTCTCTCCAGGAATCCTTCACATAGAAATGCTCATAGCCTACTCCCATCTGGTTTATAGGTTCTCTTTTATGTAGCCACATAATAGTGTTACTCTTTACTTTTTGTAGCTTCTCTGATTCTGTTGCTTTTACCGGTTATCTTAATGCTGATCTTAGAGCAACATTTCTATTAAAGAAATAAATGAGAAACAATAAGGTCTATTCATGTATTTCATTTCATACTTGTAAAAGTAACTCCCAGTGTGAAGTCACCTCTTAGGTGACAATGCTTTACAAAACTTACTCAAAAGAGGTTTCATTCTAAAGTGAACACCAGAAAATTAACATATGCTGGACACCCTGGGTCACAATCTCCAAATACAGCTCAGAGTGTAGCTCTCCTCCCCTATTATGGTGCACTGATGACGTAGAACAATCTACTGGGGTGCCAATAATAACCTGTTTAATAGTATCTTCTCTGCACTTTTACAAAGCCTTAAGCCTTTGTAAGTCTTAAAGCTACTCTTCACCTGCATTCGTTCACATTAGTTTATACTAATGTGATGTTTCCTGATGATTACCATTATCCACTGCGTGGAGTCCTCTTCTGAAAACTACTTTTAACTTCTTTTGAATTCCTAGAGAACATTCATACATACATATTTTATTTAAGTCAGTGGGTCTTTGTCCATGCTTTTGCTTCCAGAATTGCCTTTTCTTACCATTTCAAAACATTTATATTGAGCCTTGTCAGACATGAAACTGAGTATATGCCTCAGGAATATCTGATTGACTCTACAATGGCCCTTTATGGGGTATGCATCTTTTTTCTACTGACTCCGACGTTCCCAAAATGAACTTAATTGGAAAAAAAAAAAAAAACAGTTCAAACTACGTTCTGCACTAAAAACAAAACGTGTGTTCATCCTCAAACCTGCCATGGAAAAACACACAGGTACTCACTGCAGGTCGGCTGAACATCAGCACTAAGTCAGTCTGCGTTTTACAAATAACATTTCACGGGCGTTTCCGCCAAGAGCTCCGAGGGAGAAGGCCGGAGCAGGCAGGTGGGCGCCCAGAAGGGAAGACCCACAGCGGGAGAGGGGGCGCTGGGTGCGGCCTGCCGGGCCCCATCCCGCCGGACGCCTGGCTCCCCGCGCTGCGGCGGCACCTGCCGCTCCCCGGGAAGCCCAGCTCCGGAGGGACGCGCTCACGACCTAATTAGGCACGGCTACCTTCCCCAGCTTAAGCCCGGCGCCACAGTCCCGGGATTCAAACTGGGTACACGGGCTGGGGTCCCAGCTGGAACAGCGTCCAAGGATGTCCCGGCCTCTCGCGGCCACTTACCTTCATCGTAGTTATAGCCCCGGACATTGCGATGTCGGGCCATGGCGGCAGTCAGGGCATGTGTCACAGCCGCTTCCAAAACACCCGGCTCAGTTACTGATAGATCGCCAACTGCAGCCTGTAGACCACTTACACGCCATCTTGGCTTCCGGCCGGGCTCCGCACCGAGCGTCTGCGCACGCGTGGCGTCCCACCTGCGCACGGCGCGACGGCAGCCTCTCAGGGTCACAGTCGTCTCTCCGCATGCGCACTAGTGCGCTTGGCGGGTGGGGGAGTGGAGGAGGGTGGAGGTAGGGGTGGAGCGTCTCGGCGTGGCCCCGCCCACGGGCGGACGGACTGCCGCGGACGGCCTGCTGGGAAATCCCGTCCCTCTGACTTGCTAGTTTGGACTGAAAGTTGCTAGCCAGGATCTTTGACCTACTGCTGAATTCCGGATTATTGTTCTGAATGTGGCATACGTGATTAAATTTAGAGTTTGGTTACAGTGCGACACTACTGTGGCATAATTCCTAGTTTCAGGTATGGAGCAGGGACTCAATGCCTCCAGTAAACAATTATCAGTGCTCTTCAGCGTCGTGACGTACGCACTGAACACAAACGTGTAACATGATGACTACTAAACATAAATCATAACCTGTGAGTCAGTGTCCTCACTCTATAGAGCACAAGGCAGTAATGATATGTTTAAAAGCCATCCTCATTATTACTAGGAAGCAGCTGCAGTGTTGAAGCTTGTTTTTTAAATGGTTTTGGTCTGTATCAAAGACAAATGTCAAATTCTAGAAAGGAATTAGCTCACTCAGCTGTTCATTATACATAATAGAAATCGTAAGGGTAATACAAATTTGTAAGGGGCTTGGAATGTATGCAGGCTTACCTAATAGTTCTTAACCATCAATGCTGTTTAATATCATTCCAGGACTAAATTTTATGCTTGTTTTATGACTTTTAAGTGTTATTTTACACTTTATCACCATTTAATATGTTTAATATCATTCCAGGACTAAATTTTACGCTATTTTATGACTATTAAGTGTTATTTTACACTTTATCATCATTTAATATGTTTAATATCATTCCAGGACTAAATTTTATGCTTATCTTATGACTTTTAAGTGTTATTTTACACATTTAAACTTTATGTAATATACTCCAATTCAGAAATGTGAGTAATAATTTATCCCTGTGAGAATTGAAACAGACTATAAAGAATGCTTACAAATATTATATTAAAACTGGTAGCTTCTACCCCATTGCAATTGTTCATTGCTGGTTTAAATACAGATCACTGAGGTAACTGTAGAAGGAAAAGACTTATGAATTGACCACATAGGTAGTACTGGACCAATGAATAAGGAAACAATATTTCTGCCTGGTGGGTGGGATGTAATTTGACTCTGTCCGTCAAAAAAGCACAAAATACTTGAGAGCTTCCAGTGCATCTAGAAACTAGAGCCTCTCTCGCGAAGGCTTCAGACTTCCTCAGAAACAATTAGGCATGTTACTCAGTGCCCAAGATTTCTTTATATTTGATTATGGCTTGATGGAAAGTACTATGTCCTACAAGTCACACAGGGCTGGGTTTCAGTCATAGTTGCACTATTTTCTGTTAAATTCTTTGGGCTTAATTTCTTCATCTATAAACTACATATGTTTACATAATACATAATTTACATAATACATTTACATGTATTATGTTGAAAATGAACTATATAACTTGTGGGTGGAGACTAGAGGGAAAAACTGGGAGAGAGTGAGGGAAGGAGTGACATTCTCCAAAAAGAAATGTACTCACTACCTGACTTATGTAACTGTAATCCCTCTGAACAAAACCTTTATAATAACAATAGAAAAGTTAAAAACCAAAAAAGTGTATTTTTGTTCAAAATAAGTGGTACATGTAAACTGAAGATATTACATAATAGGAATTCAATAATATGTAAACTGAAGATATTACATAATAGGAATTCAATAATACTATTTCTTTCCTTCACTAATGAGAAAGCTTTTTCTCTGATTCTCTGACATCCTAATATGTCTGCCACTGAAAGATTTAATGAATAAAAGGAAAGAAATATAATGGCATGTCTCTTCCAATGGGAAAGTTAAATACAAATAGTATACAACTCATTCATGTTTACATTGATTTGTGGAAAAAATATAAATGGAAATAGTATAAATATATTACTGAAAAAGTTAATGGTTTTGAGATACAATTTAAACAATAAACTATACATATTCAAAGTGTACAATTAGATATATTTTCAAATATGTATACGTCAGAATAACCATCAACCCAATCAAGACAATGAGCAGATCCAGTTTCCTCAAGTGTTTTCATATCGTTTCTGTTCTCCACTGCCTTCTCATCACAACTCATGGCAACAACTGATCACTTGTCACTATAGCTTCATTTGCGTTTTCTAAAATTTTATATAGATAAGATTTTACATGTTTCTTTTAAATCCGTCTTCCTTTCTCAGCACAGTTATTGAGTTATTGTGAGGTTCAACCAGGAAGGTATTTGAAGCAATAGTTCATTTGTTTGTTTTTACAGAAAAAAAAGTGATGCAGTCTCAAAGATGGGTAGATAGGTAGATAGTTGATAGGTAGGTAGGTAGGTAGGTAGGTAGGTAGATAGATAGATAGATAGATAGATAGATAGATAGATAGATAGATAGAGATAGTACACACTTGTAATCTCAGCTATGTAGGAGACATAAGTAACAGAGTTGAATTCTGAAGCTGGCCTGAGTAAAAATATAAGATCAACTCTGGAGGCATGGCTCAAATTTTAGAGTTTCTGCCTAGCAAGCATAAGACCCTGAATTCAAACCCCAGTGCTACTAACGTAGTAATAATAAAAAAAATACAGAGTTTCATGATGTACTGGAAATATTCTATTTATCATTCAATGATTTTTTGTTTTGTTTTGTTTTTGGTCGGTCGTGGGGCTTGAACTCTGGACTTGGGCATTGTCCCTCAGCTCTTCAGCTCAAGGTGAGTGCTCTACCACTTGAGCCTCAGTGCCACTACTGGTTTTCTAGTGGTTTATTGGAGATAAGAGTCTCATGGACTTACCCACCTGGGCTGGCTTTGAATCATGATCCTCAAATCTCAGCCTCCTGAGTAACTAGTATTACAGGAATGAGCCACCAGCGCCCAGCTTCAATGATTTTATACATACATAAAATGGTACATTTAAAATTTTTGCTCCTTGTAGTTCATAAAGTAGACCTCAATCTTGAAAGTATGAGAAAAATAAAAAACAGCTCATGAAATGGGTTTTTATTACTTAGATTTCAGTATATTTCAAATATGTATATTCAAATATATATTTCAAATGTGGGTCTTCAATTTTATGTCTTGTTTTAAAGATAGAAATAACCAAAATTTTGATACGTGTGAATTGAAATTCTTCGGTAACATATCAATCATTCCCAGAGTATTTTGTTTCTCTGTTTTCTATTTCCACTTTGTATTCTAAATTGAGTGATTACTGATCCATTCAAACTTCTATTTAAGTGTTTTTGTTGTTGCTAAAACACTATTACCCCTGACAGCTGTTTAAAATTTACCAGTATTTAAACTGGTAAATTATCATGCTCTCTGTAATCTATAATTATTAAAATGAAATAAAAATGTAAAGAGGGGTGAACAATTGAAATTATGGCATTCAACATTTCATATAACTATTTCTAGAGTTCTCTACGTTGCAGTAATATAGGACTGCACTATAAACTATCTAGCTATCATGGGATCCCTTGCAGTTCTATGATTCTTTTAGAACTTCTGATTACACTCTAATAACTTAAGTCTACCCAGCTTGACTATTGTTGCCAAATACCTGTAAAACCTTCACAGAGATGACTTTTCCCTACTGATATTTCAAGTTAATTCTACCATCCAGTGATATTCTTACCTTCTATGGAATTTTTCTCAACTTTTCTCACTCTTTTCTTTTTCTTTTCCTTCACTTTCTCTCTTCCTTTCTCTTTTTAAAGGCAGAAATCTAGGTAAGTGAAAATTGGCAAAGTTTTGTGAACAAGTCCTTATACTAAGACAAAGTTTTATCCCCAAAGAACATGAGGCAATCCAGGGGCTCTGTTTGACAGAAGTGTTGACAGCACCCCTAAACAAACACAGAAAGGTGTTCAAGGAAGCCGTGGCAGATCTTCAAAGAAGACTGGGTGGCTTCCAATTTCTATGTCGCATTATAGAGAGCTTAACACAGGACTTATCAAACCTTGGAAATTTAATAGTGGGGTCATGAACTTTATCAAACACAGTGATCCTCTGAAAAGACAAAAAAAAAAAAAAAAAAACCCTCAAACTCAAAAGGTTCTACAATGAAGCATGAACTACTAAGTGGGAAATAGCAGTTCTTTGAAAAAAGATAACACCTGGGTAAAAACGTCTTCCTCTACCCAAGGTGCTTTCAACCCCAACCCTAGGCTCTCCAGTTGTCAGACACCTTATCAAAGTTCTTTAAGGTTTCTTCTTTTTCTCTTCAAAAGCTCATGTTGTCCTAAATGCTCTAGTAACCATTCATTCTTCCATTCAAAAGCTTTCAATGGGAAAATTTTGAAGTCAACCTGCTGGAAAGATAAGAGTTCCACTGTGATTTCAAGGCTGCATGCACCTCGCTTCACCTGCCACCAAACCTATTGCCCCACCAGAAGTGCTCTGTGTCTCAGCTCCTACTTGAAAGGGTTCAAGTCCAGCCATGCCCATCCTGCCGCAAGCACATGGTATTCCACTGGCCTACAATATACTTCTGTCCTCCTGTCCTATTTATTGCTCAGGGAAGTCTTATTAGTTTCATACATGTGGTGACACTTTCTTTGACTATCACAGAATAAATATCCTTCTCTCTGTCCTCAAAACTCTTCCTGTTTATCTCTTCTGTCACATATATTAGTAATATTCTAATGATCTGTTTTGCTTCTGTACCTTTCCACCTCCCCAACTTGACATAAGTTTCTTAAAGGCAGAAATATCCTTAAATTTATTCTCTCTAAGAGTATGTAGTGTAGCAGCTAGTACAAAACTAAACTAAATAGAATCAATTTGTTGAATGGTTGCTGAACATATTTATAAGATGTAGAAGTGGAAATGGTTACACAATCCTGTAAATATATTTTTTATCTTTTAGTATTTTATTGTTATTATAGAGATGATATATAGAGGCATT